GAAAGAATACAACCTTGTTGCACACCTTTCTTAATTTTAAACCATTCAGTGTTCCCATGTTCTGTTCGAACAACAGCTTCTTCGTCCATGTACAGATTCCTCATGAGCACAATTAAGTGTTTCGGAATACTCATACTTCACAATGTTGTCCATAGCTTGTCATGATCCACACAATCAAAAGCCTTTGTGTAGTCAATAAAGCCCAGGTAAACATCTTTATGATATTCTCTGCTTTCAGCCAAGATTGCTCAGACATCAGCAGTGATATCCCTCGTTCCATGGCCTCTTGAGAATCCGGTTTGAACCTCTGGAAGTTCTCTGCCAATGTATGATTGTAGCCATTTCTGTATTACCTTTAGCAAAATGTTACTTGCATGAGATATCAAAGAGATTGTCCGATGATTTCTGCATTCCATTGGCTCACCTCTTCTTGGAATGGGCACAAATATGTATCTCTTCCAATCAGTTGGCCAGACAGTTGTCTTCCAAATTTCTTGGCAGAGATGAGTGAGTGCCTCCTGTGCCGCCTTACTTTCTTGAAAGATTTCAGTTTTTATTCCATCAATTCCTGGTGCCTAATTCTTTGCCAATTCCTTCAATGCACCTTTGACTTCCTCCCTGAGTGTCATTGGCTCTGGATCTTATGCTACCTCTTGAAACTGTTGAACATTAACCATTTCCTTTTGGTATAGTGACTCTGTGTATTCCGTCCGTCTTCTCTTGATACTTTCTGCATCATTCACTAATTTGACCCCGAGAGTTATGGTAGTGGAGGAGAATATTGGACGTGCCATAGGTTGTCAAAAGAATCAACTTATCTGTGTTGGATGAAGTTCAGCTACTAAGAGTGCTCCTTGGAGACCAGGATGGCCCAACTTTGTCTCTCAAACTTCGGATATATTGTCAGGAGGGACCAGTCGCTAGAGAAGGATATCATGCTTGGTAAGGTGGAGTGTCAGAGAAAAAGAGGAAGACCCTCTGTAAGATGGATTGGCAAAGTGGCAGCATGAATGGGCTCAAGCATGGCCCCAATTTTGAGGTTGGCCCAGGATCGGGCAGTGTTTCATTCTGTTGTACAATGGGTCGCTAGGAGTCGGTACCTACTCTGTGGTACCTAGGAACAACAACAATGTAGACGGTATGTACTGTTACATCAGAACGCATGGATTAGATTTTTTTTTTTTCTTTTGCCAGTATAATTGTTAACCTAATATAAATTGGAAATCTACTTACTTTTAGTACAGTTCTATAAATTTGGTCTTATTCTAGGTTAAAATTAGTGGACTGTGTTAACCACTAAGTATGTTATCATCATATTATTTTGTTTACTTTCTTACCAATTTGTCAATATAGTCTGTATGCAGCTTCATGGAAGAATGATGTGGTAGTATGCTTCTATAAAGATTTAGAGCCCTGGAAACCTTTTGGGACGATTCTGCTTGAATGTCCTTAGGGTCACTATGAGTTGGAATTGAGTGGACAGCAATGGATTATGAGTTTTTAAATCTGATATGAATTTGTAAGATGCATTAGTGAACAGGAAGATCAGTTAGGATGCAATGCAATAACAAGAGGCTGGTGTTGTAAGAGCCTCACTAGACTGCGAACCACAAGGTAAATTCAAATCTACCACCCTCTCCTTAGAAGCCCTATGCAGCGATGCTTGCCTTGTTGGCACTTAACTGAGTTGAGTTGGAACTGACTTGACTGCACTTAACAACAACAAAGGGTGATGAATCTTTATGCTAGGATCATTATAAGCTATTAGAGTAAAGCGGATAAATGTAAAACTGTTAGGACTTTGCAACTGAGTAGTTATGATTGGACAGGTTGAGAGAAAGAGAAAAATCAAAGGATGCTGAGAATTTAAAGCCTAGGGGCCTCTTTTAATATGTTGATGTATTTAATAGAAACAAAGCATAAATTTAGAAAGAAAATTAAGTTCATTGTCAGACTAGGTATTTCTTCAAGCAAAATTTTATAGTGTAAAGAGAACATGTATTTTTTTGTTGTTGTTTAAATAAATGTGTCTTGAAATTTCAACTCTTGATGTGATATAGAAAAAAAACAAAAAACTAAAATTCTTCATGCATGATATCCACTAACTCTTGTCTGAGTTATGTATAATGCTTTTTAGCTTATGCAAATTCAAATGAATTCTCCAAATACTTTTGTTTTGCTAGAGCTTTGTTTCTATTTGATTGCCTCCACTAAATCAAGAATTCTCCCTAAATTCTGGAATATTTTTCATAATTTTTAATGAAATGTTTCTAATGAACAACAAACTTCTTATATCAGAACAAAATTAAACTACTAAATGTAATCAGTTAATATTGATACTGAATACCCCAAATATCCATGTTTTAACTCCTTTCTATGCACAGTGAACTGAATTTTCAAAGAAAATACTTTGTCACTTTTGCCACTTTACTCATTCTCTGTATAACTACTTTCTCTAGTCTTAAATTTTTTTATTAGTATTTTCATTGCAAAATTGAAAATACTGTTTTCAATCTGAAAAGTTTACAAGTACTTTATTTCCTTTCTCCAAATAACAAAAGGTTCTTTTTAGAATATTTATTTTTATTGATATGGGCTTTGCTTAATTTTTACTTTCAAAATGAAGAACACCGTCTGTGTACCATGGTCAGTCCCTACCATGGATTTGATTTTTTTACCCTCCATTTGCTTAACAAAGCACCTTGAAAAGCAGACAAACCTTTCTCCTCTTCTAATGTTTTCTTTCATCTCACTTCACCTGACTTGCTTACTAGCACTGACAAAGCTAGTGTTCTTTAAACATGAAGACAAATGATTAACCTGTCAACAATGTTAAAACAGAATGCACCAGATGTGCATTGGCACAAATGAAGCTTGCATTATTCATTTTCTATTCAGAATTTTGTTTAAGAACATTTAATTCATCTAGATCTAACATAGGACTTGAGGGTAAAGTAGAAATTATATTTTGAGCAAGTGAATGAAATCAAAAAACAAACAAGAAGTCCCTGCAGCTGAGCTCATTAGCTTCCCGTTCTGTCTAGGTTTTACTAAGAGGAGTGAGTGTAGCTGTCTTGGCTGGATGGAATGTGCATGTTTTGTAGCATGTTAATGTTGCAGATTTATATTTTGTAATTGCTTACAGAACTGTAGTCAGTCTCTCCTATTTTTTGAATGCACATTTGGCTAATTTTCTCAGTACTTTTTTGTTTCATAAAATAAAAAATAGATGAAACTTGATTTTTAAAATTTCTTGGAAGAAATATGTCATCATTTTGTTTCTGCTAGCTTTTTTTCCCTTGATGTAAGTACCCTTGGGGGCATGGTGTCTCTGTACAATCAGTAATGGACTGTGAGCCACAAGGTTGGCAGTTTAAGACCATTAGCCACTCTGTGGGTAAAGGATGAGGCTTTCTGTTCCTGAAAATTTTACAGCCTCAGAAACTACACAGGGTTCCTATGAGTCTAAACCAACTTGACGAAACTTAACAGCAACAACAGAAGTACCCCATGAATTACTTTCACTTCCAATGCAGATATGGTTGTTGATAATGTTTTTATTCATAAATGTGTTCGCATTTATAATTACACAACAGAAAAGTTGAGTTGATTTGAAACTAAAACACTGTTTTAAAGGGAGAGAATTTAATAAATGACAGTGTAACCTCAATGAAAATTAATGCACCGCCACATCAAAATAAAAAAGGAAAATTAATAAGATTTAGGTAAACACTAGCAAAAATGAAAATGAAAAGAAAACCCACAAACAAAGTGAACTCAGCACAGAAAATTATGTGGAACAAAATAATGGGCAGCACCATAAAAAACACACAGCAAAATGACAGCAAGCAATTCATACCTATAGTAATTGCACTGAATGTCAATGGATTAAATGTACCCAACCAGAGACGGACAGTAGCAAAATGGATAAGAAAACAGGATTATTCAATATGTTGTCTACAAGAGAGACATTAAAAAGATGGAGCCAGCCTATATGCCCATCAACATAAAAATGGTTAAACTTTGGTACATACACTCAATAGAGTAATACTAAGGCAATGTTGAAGAATAATGAAGAGTCTGCAAAACACCTCATGAGCTGGATTAACCTTGAGAACATTATACTAAGTGAAATTTGTCGATCACAAAAAGACTGATATTGTAATATAGTATGAGACCTCTGCTGTGAGAAATTAGAAAAGGTTTTCTTGATAAACATTCTATGATTGTTACAAGGAGGATATGGGAGATTATTCCTTGGCTAGAGAGTAGACACATGTTAACATGGGTGACAGAGAAGGCACTGTACAAGAGGGAAGTTGGCAGAGGAAAGATGAAGGTTAGCGGGAGACACAGGAGACGTGTAAGAGAAGTGAACAGAGGTAAATATTGTTAACTGATGGTACATGTAGGGGATTGCAATCATTGTAATGAAACAAGGCCTATGAAAAACAATTAAGAAGCACAGCTAAATGCTTCTTAGGAGCTAGGCTGGCAAGACTTCTTCCTTTCTTGTACTTTAGACATGTTGTCAGGAGGGACCATTCCCTGGAGAAGTACATTGTTATGGATGGTCCTTGTAAAGGAAAAAAATCCTCGACAAGATGGATTCACACAGTGGCTGCAACAATAGGTTCAAACATACCTAATATTGTAAGGATGGTACAGTGCTGGGCAACATTTTGTTCTGTTATACAGAAGCTCAGTGGAAAAGAGGACGATCCCCAACATGATGAACTGACAACAACATTGGCAAGTGGCAGTAACAATGTACTCAAACATAACAACAATTGTGAGGATGGATGAGGACCTGGCAGTGTTTTGTTCTGTTATGTGCAGGGTCGCTCTGAGTCGGAACCTTCTTGAAGACACTTAACAGCAACAACAATACCCATTCATGGTGGGAACTCTCAGAATATTAGAAATAGAAATAAACTGCCTTAAACTAACATGGAAGTCATTAATTATTTTAGTTTGGTCATAGTGAGTTGAACTGAAAAAAAAAGTAGAAATGAATTTGTAGACAATTATTTCTGTAAGCTTTGGTTAAAAGAGGTGGTGGTGATTGTGTGCCATCAAGCTCGTTCTGACTCATAGCAACCCTGTGTAGGATTTCCAAGGCTGTAAATCTTCAAAGTAGGTGGTGGTTTTATGCCGTGGAGTCAGTTCCAACTCATAGCAATCCTGTACAGAGTTTCTGAGGCTGTAAATCTTTATTATGGGAGTAGAAAGCCTCGTCTTTCTCCCACGGATCAGCTGGTAGTTTATAATTGCTGACCTTGCAGTTTGCATCCCGATTCGTAACCACTACATTACCAAAGCTCAGTCAAGAAATCAAACAACGTATTGCATTGGGCAAATCTGCTGCACAAGACCTTTTTAAAGCGTTGAAGAGCAAAGATGTCAGCTTGAGGACTAAGGTGTGCCTGACCCAAGCCATGGTATTTTCAGTAACCTCATATGCATGCAAAAGGTGGACAGTGAATAAGGAAGACCATAGAAGAATTGATGCTTTTGAGTTATGGTGTTGGAGGAGAATACTGAAAGTGCCTTGGGCTGCTAAAAGAACCAATAGATCTGTTTTGGAAGAAGTGCAGCCAGAGTGCTCCTTGAAGGTCAAGATGGCCAAACTTCGTCTCTCATACTTTGGACATATTATCAGGAAGGACCAGTCGCTAGAGAAGGATATCATGTTTGGTATGGTGGAGGGTCAGAGAAAAAGAGGAAGACCCTCAATGTGATGGGTTGGCCAAGTGGCAGCATCGATGGACTCAAGTGTGGCGACAATAGTGAGGTTGGCCCAGGATTGGGCAGTGTTTCGTTCTGCTGTGATAAGGTCGCTATGAGTCGGTACCAACTTGATGGCACCTAACAACAACAACAAATCTTCAAAACCACCAAGGGAGGCAGTCTCTTCCAAATAAACATTCAAATTTTATTGGTTAGATAAGCATGTCATAACTGTTATGCATGCTACAAGGGCATGAACACCAAAAGTGGGTATCAGAGGGACCACACATCTGCCATACTTGCACAGGGCATAAACTTTCATTTTATTTAGTCATTTTTGCTCCTTCTTTGAGATGTGATAGCATTGGATTTTTTTTTTTTTTTTCTTACTAGAATCCATTGGCCGTGACATCCCCCAAATGCTTGAATTTTTCAAAACTGGACATGAAATTGTAGTAGATGAAGAAAAGGAGAACTTTCTCCAGACCAAAATAGCAACAGTAAGTTACAGGGAAAATGATCAAATGCATTTCTTTTGATTTATGCTCAGATAATATAGGAACAATTTACGATATTATAATATGCCATATCTTTTAATTGATTCTTAGCACTAATTCTTAGCACTCCTGCTATTATTAGAAGTAGAGCGAAGTATGTTTATATATATATGTATATATATATATATTTGTTGTTGTTCTGGTAGCGTAGTGGTTACGAATCGGGCTGCGAACCTTAAGGTCAGCAGTTCGAAACTACCAGCCGCTCTGCGGGAGAAAGATGAGGCTTTCTACTCCGTAAAGATTTACACCCTCGGAAACCCTGTACAGGGTCGCTATGGGTCGGAACCGACTCGATGGCACTTAACAACAACAAAAATTTGTTGTTGTTACGTGCCATCAAAGTTGATTCTAATTCATAGCAACTCTATACAGGGTTTGTGAGGAGCAACTGGCGAGTTTGAAGTGTGGCCTTGCAATTCACACTGGTCTTATGGTCCAGTGCTTAACCTATAGCACCACACCAGGACTTGTTGTTGTTTTATGTATGTGTGTGTATGCATATATATGTGTATGTGTATCATATACATATATATTGTTGTTTTTATTAAGGACATATTGATGATATAAATTGAACTCATAACCTTTCATCGTATTTGAGAATTCCTTTTTCTCTGTTATGTCATTTATTGACATTTAATTTATACTATGTCTACCCTGTTCCAAGAGTCCTGGTGTGGCATTGTGGGTTAATGCGCTGGACTGAAAAGTTGGTTTGAACTACAGGGTTGGCAGTTCAAGTTCACCTCGGAAACCCTATACATGGTCGTTATGGGTTGGAACTGACTCGATGGTGTTTAACGACAACAACCCTGTATCAGGTCATAATGAGTTGGAACCGGGTAGACGGCACTTAACAATTTGATTATTTTTGTATATGTTTAGTGAGCCTAATATTTTAAGCTTATGGATTGTAGGGAATAATCTTGTTTATCTGCTGGAGAATATTGCATGGTGCTGAGCACATTCTAGGTAGTGATTGTTCCTTTAATGCAATTGCATAATTGGCTTTGTTTTTTACTATTCCATTTGAATTTTCATTGTTATGTTTAAAAATTGTTAATTGAAGAAGAAACTGGAAATCAATTTCAAAAATGATGTTCAGGCTATTAATGTAGAGTCCTTGTTCACATGGAAATTCAGGCTGAAGATGAAAGAGAATTAATACAAGTCCATGAGAGCCAAAATATGACCTTAAATGTATCCCATTTGAATGGGCAGGTGCATTGTTGTAATGGGAGAAAAATTTCTCAGTGCAATTGTTTTGGCCTTTTTTTCACCAATGCAATATACAATTTTCTTAAAACATCTTCCTAAGATGAGCAGGGGTAAAAAAGAGAAGGCAGACTGTTTGTCTATTACAAGAACAAACAAGTTGTTCTCCTGGGAGCCATCTAAGCAAGCCATTAAAGCCATTCAGGACAAACCCAAGTCCATAACTGAAACTCAAAGGGAACACACAAGCAGTCTGGTAAGCTTTCTGGTGACTGCGTTAGTCTGTTTGTGAGTGGAGTCGGGGAAAGGCAGTAGTGATGACATGGTCTTAGTTTGATCATGTTCCATAGACTTCTGTTGATCTTGAGATAAGTGAGAGTAAAGGAAGGGCTGGTTGATCCAAAGTTTAGAGAGAATTGGGAACTCCTGAGCTCTAGACACTGACCTAGCCACTGGGGGCTACAGCTGAGAGTGAAGCATCTAGTTGATATGAAGTGAGGGGATACGGGCAAGAATGCCCAAACTTGTAGATAGTACCATGACCTAGCTTGGATGACTTGCTGATCAAAACTCGACTAGAGGACCATAAACAAGTTTGATACAGGAAGCATATGTAAGTTGCTACAGTTTGATGAACTTGACCTTTGCTTATGAATGTAGTTGCTCAAAATACCAATTGAGAAGGAAGGAGTCTTCACACCAAGGATCAGTACACAGGGTTGATAGGGACGGGCAACTTAGACATTGGCTACCTAAAAGGTGGGGAGGTGGGCGCTATAAAGGCACAAAGTGGCTGGCTTACTAGTTGTCAAGAGGAAGTTTAGTTTCAGAGTGTGTGGGGTCAGTAGAATCTCCACTGAATAGTTTTCATCTTGTATAGATGGGCCTAGTGAAAGTAGATGGGAGAGGATTCATTTGATTCAATAGTGAGTAATTGTTGTCATGACTGATTACGATAGTCACAACTATAAAGGTAGACGTTTTGTAACAAAAAGGGGGGAGTAGTTAATCTTACATTCCAGGAACAGAGGACCCTGGGACTATCATGAGGGAAGAACATGAGTGGAACATGGGATCCTAACCAGAAACGGAGGCAGAGGTGATGGCATGGAGAGAGGGAGTTAGTTGAGGATTCTAGACTCATGGAAAGTAAAAGGTTGGCTGCTGGTGGGCAGTAGGCTGGCTTGCAAAATGTGACCTTTGGTTGTTTAAACTATTATATTTTGATATAAACGTTTTGTGTATATATATATAAAATAAATATAAAACAGGGAATAGAGGCAAATACTGTTAACTGATGGTGCATTGAAGGGATTGCAATCATTGCAGTGAAACAAAATACAATAGGTTGAATACAAAACCAATGTTCTCCCATGTAAACTATACCTCAATTCACAATAAAAGATTTAAAAAAAAAACCCACATCTTTCTATTAAGCCCCTGTGATTATTCTATGCCTTTCGCAAAAAATTGAACTGGCTTTTGCAGATCTTTTGGAAGCCACTGCTTTAATTGAGACTTTTTTGGTGAGATTTTGAAGGTACCCTAACCTAACAAGATTAAGACAAAAGTATTGTTTGAAATAAACCTGTGTAGAACTGGAACTCTTGTTGTTGTAATAAGTGCCATCAAGTCAGTTCCGACTCTTAGTGTTCCTTTATAGGGTTTCCAAGGAGTGGCTAGTGAGTTTGAATTGATGACCTTGTGGTTCAAATCAACCTTGCGGTCCCGTGCTGTATCCCATAGTGTCACACCAAGACTGCAATGCTGAGTAACCCTTGTAGCAATATTTTTTGACTTACCCTCCTACTACCTATGCTGTGAAGGGGTAGGTGAGATTATAACATAGCAACCATTTAGCAATCTCTGCTCCTAGCTACAGTGAGGTAACAGGATCCTAACATACTGTCCCTTCTAAAATTGTCCACATTGCCTTAATAGCTAAACCAGGCAAAGAAAACTGTGGTTCTTGAACATAAATGTAAAAATTCTAAACTAAATTTTAGTAATTAGAACTCATCAATATACAAAAAGGAGACCATATCATTGTTAAATATAAAGTTTGTTTTAGTAATGCAAAGTTAGTTTAACATTAAAAAATCAATCCTCATAATTTACCTTAGTAATAAATAAGGAAACAAAAACCATTTGAGCATCTCATTAGGCACAGAGAAAATATTTGACAAAATCCAATGCCCATTTCTGATTAAAAGTCTGTCAGCAAACCAAGAATAGACGTCAACGTTTTCAACCTGTGAGTGTCTAAGCAAAGCATACAGCTAATATCATGCTTAATGATGAAAGACGGGTGGTTTCCTTTTAAGATTGGGAATAAGACTAGGATATTTACTATCACCATTTATGTTCAACACAGTCTGAAGATTTTAAATATAGTCAGGTTAAAAAAAAAAAAGACATAAATGCATCCAAATTAAAAAGGAAGACATAAAACTCATTAATTACAGATGACATGGTCTACCTAGTAGATCAAATCATGAGTTAAACATGGTTGCAGGATAAAAGATTAAAATATAAAAATTAATTGTATTTCTGTATACTAGCAACATACAATTGGAAATTTAAATTAAAATTTTAAAACATGAAATACTTAGGAATAAGTCTAACAAAGATGTAAAAGATCCAGGTGCTGAAAACTTCAAATCATAGTTGAGAGAAATTAAAGAAGATTTTAATAAATTGTGACAATGTACCATGTTCCTCGTTAGTACATTAAATATTGTTGAAATATCATTTATTCTTACAGTACTCTACAAGAGACTTCTGGTTTCCAGTCCAGTTGTTGGGTTCAGGACCAGAAAGAAAAAGCGTTTTGAGTTAATTGGTGATGAAAGTACTCAATACGAGAGACATTAGTTTATTATAGAAAATAAAATAAAATATGGTTTACCAACAAGGGAATTTGCCTACAAAGGGTAAAAACAGCTGTGTCCATTGGTGGCTGCCTGGATAGTGAAGTTTTTCTATGCAAGGGGTGAGGGCTAGGGTCTTTTTATTTCATAGGGTAAACAAGCTTCACACTCATCAGGGTAGTTGAATTATAGAGAAGATGGTTGGTTGGTTCTACTTACAACAGAGCAAGTGGTAAAAGAAAGAGATGTGTTCAGGTCACTACTCAAGAGCCACATAAAAGACTTAGAAGATTCCACTTGTGCCTTGAAAGAAAGCCTAATTTCTTGTTGTACCAGAGCTGATGTTGCCAAAAAACAAACTTAGAGTCTTAGTGTAAACAGGGCTAAAGTACGTTGCCAGCTCAACTCCCAACCTGGAATGGTGTCTAATGCTAAATTGAGGGATCAATGGATTTGGAGGAAATGGGATCTTGAAACTTGGAATGGGGACCCTTGGGCAGATAATCAGGAAGCTTCGGACATAGAACCTGTAAACTCCATTAAATCACTCTTGCTAACAGTGATTTAAAGAGACAGTATAGACATAAAACCAAATGGCCACCACTCCTCTGTCTGTCGTGCTGTCGTGGTTTGAGTAGCTGTGATTCTGAGGGCTCTGCCACCGGTATTTTAAATAACCAGCAGGGTCACCCATGGTGGAAAGGTTTCAGATGAGCTACAAAACAAAGACAGACTAGGAAGAAAGAGTGACAAACTACTTCCGAATC